ACATAACGAGCGACCTTACCCCATTCACCTTGTCAGATCATTGATCTGTTACATTTAGACAAAACAGAACAAATTAACAAAAAACTATACGTATTTTTTATTATACCAAGTAATAAGACGAACAAATCACGCGCCTGCTGGTAAGCGACACGCTTGCCCATTTGCATTGCCACTCAAGAGCTTTAAATTGCAAAAATCTAAGTGGCACTGCGTCCGAGCCCGTCACCCTGAAACATAAGTAGACAAGTCTCGTGTCGCTGTAATTTCACCAGCACCGTTTAAAACCGGAACACCGCAATGCTCATTAATACTGCTTGGCGCCTGAAATAAATAAAGTGTACTTCCCTGGACGAAACCTTTCACAAGAAGCCAGAGCTCCTCAATAATAGCTCATAAATATGAGCTCAATAATAAGAGCTCAGTTCAATAATATTTAGTAGTAGCAGACTACTACTAAATATTATTGAACTGAGTACGGTACATGTTTATAAAATCTTGTGAGTTAATCCACGCGTAAGTTAGATCAAAGCTGGTACATTTTGAAGTGTGCGCACGAGCTACGCAACTTAGTTCTACCTTTACCCTTTGATCGATTAGAAAATCCGCATTTTATATTATATACCTATAGCTACATGTATAACTAAAATTATGGAGATACTTTGTACTTTAAACGCGGAAATCCAATTACGGTAGTTGTTTATTTATTAAGCAGGAAAAAATAAAGATTGCCTTTATAATTAGTTTATTTTATTTGTATTATTTTTAACCATGTTCGACGTTTGCGTTTCTCCGGTAAAAATGGGTGTACTGCAGGGCTCACTACTTGGACCTTTCTTATTTCTCATTTAAATTAATGATTTACAATCTTTGTTAACAACTTTTGCGAAATAGTATTGTTTGCTGACGGACAGACATGACGTTAACTGTGACAATATTAACGACACCCTCTCAAAGGTAGTTTATTGGTTTAATGCTAACAATTTATTGCTCAATGCCAAGAAGACAAAGTGTGTTAAATTTAAATTACCTAATGTAAAATCGACTAGTCCAAGCATAGAAATAAATGGAGAAAAGTTAGACATTGTTAATAAAGCTGTCTTTTCGGGAGTGACCTTAGATAGTAAACTGCAATGGTTTCCACATATCGCACTGTTAATATAATAGTGTACTAACTCAAAATGTGAACTTTTTTCAGAATCGATAAAAAACTAATTACTCACTTTCCGTGAGAGATTATTCAAATTTATATTTGAATTTAAATTTATATCATTTATATTTAAATCTACATAGTTAAAGTTTATTACAGACATCTAAACAATTTTCTACTCGCAAAATATACTGATATTTGCGTAAAGACATACAAAAAGTTTGGTCTCATTTTGAGTTAAGTAGATATCTTTCAATTGTTTCTTACAATATTCTAATGACGCTTTTATCGACGTTTAGAGAATCAAATTTTACGTTCAGGATAAGTATAGTCTTGAATTTCACATATTTTGAGTTATAACACTATTGTAATAGCAGTGCGATATATATTCCTTAGCCAGCAGATTCAAATTCTGCTGCGTACGTAGTCCGTAGAATACGTGAGTTTACCGATGTTGCTACTGCTAGACTGGTTTACTTCAGTTACTTCCATAATATAACGTCCTACGGGATTACGGGCAAATATACAAACCATATTTGTGTTACAAAAACGAGCGATTCGTTCTGTGTACCGTTTAGGTTCTCGGGTTTCTCTCAGAAGGAAAGTTTAAGGAGACTGGTATCATGACTGTGACATCACAGCACATTTACTCAAATATTTTGTATGCCCGTAAAATATATATAATTTCATTAAATAGAAGATATCCATGATATTAAACTTAGAACTAAGTCCAAACTCATGGTACTACGATTTCTTTTAATACGGTAAACGACCCTTTTATAGGGAACTGTCTACGTTTTTACAATAACACTCCGGAGCATAATATTAAGATTATGTTAGATAAAGATGTATGGAAAGACGATATGAGTTGAGCAGGTTTGGCCAACCGCTTCTCAAGCAGACGCCGTGGATTCAAATTCGGGCGAAATTTAATTTGAAATTTACCATGAGCTATTCAGTGAAGGGAAAACATCGTGATGAAACCTGCACGTCGAAGAAGTTTCACCACAACCCTCGGGAAACGTGTCAAGATCAACCCGCTATTGGGCCATGCAGGGCGGCAGACTATGGCCTAAACCTCGCCTGGGAAGAGCTCCGTGCTCAGCCTTTGCTGAGCACGGCCATATAAATGGCTTGATGATGATTAATACACTACACCACGATGCTGCTAAAGTTACAGGCACATGGGACTTGTCAACTTGGGTCTCGAATTGACGGGCGCAGTAGCACTACCCCTCGGATCTTTGCGATTTAAAGTTCTGAGTGGCACTGCAACTGTTATGGACAGGCGTGTCGCTTATCACCAGGCGCACGACTTGTTCGTCCCGTCACTTGGTATCATAAAAAAGAAAAATTCCCAATGTGCTACCACCGCCCATTATATTCCTACTATTCAGGATGCAAAGTAAGGAAATAAAGGAAATAAAAATTCTTTAAATTAATTAATAATAATAACGCACACACTCGTAGCCCCATACCAGGGAAACCCTGTATCGCGGATGCCATGGACACACACATAGACAACTACAAATTACACCCAAAGTCACGAGAGAAATAAATGTAGGCCATACAAATATTTCTCCTGGCCCGGAAATGACGAACGCAGTTAGACTGAATAGTTAGAATAGACAGCCTCCTGGCAAACCTCCATCCTGGCAAACCTCCCTTCATATTTGTTCATATTTACATTCGCCAATAGTTTCATACAGTAAGCTTTCCTATTATATATTTCCCGCCTTTGCCACTTGCATTAATAAAGCCACACGTGACCGTACGTTAAAAATGTTTTTATCACGTGAAAGTAATAAATATAGTGTACATAAAAAAAATTACATCTACTGATAAAAATAAGTACAACTAAATGAAATTTGATCTCTTCTATTAGAGAAATGTCAGCTAATACACCAATGTCCTGGGGTTTAATTCTGCTAATTATCTTGAAACCCTTCCAGGGTTAAAAAGGCCGTGTTGGCAAAATCATTATATGATTAATTGACAATTCATATTATGAATTTTCAAACAAACCAAAAATACAACTCATCTATTAATATTATCTAAGTTAACTAGAGTGACCTGCCACACAGTGTCAATGTTAAATCTCAACTGTACCAGCACTTACGTTTATTGGTTGTTCCTCGCTTAACTCTGTTTAGGGGCAGTTTCCGATTCGCCACCTTCATTAAAAAATGCCAATACGCTATATTTTTTCAAAAAAATACAACGTACACATAACGTACACACTCAACATAGCCCCGCACTAGGGAAACCCTGTGTCGCGGGTGCCATGGACACACACGAAGACAACCACAAATTACACCCAAACTCACGAGAGAAATAAATGTAGGCCATACAAATATTTCTCCCGACCCGGGAATCGAACCTGGGACCTCTGCATGGCAGTCCGGCATGATAACCGTTCGGCCACGGAGGCAGTTAAATATGTTAAATATGTAAACAATGGCTGCTGTCTGTGCAGAAATCGAGTAGCAATTAGTCGGTGGTTAAATCCGTTAGCAACACTAAATAAATAAATACAATTTTAAAATGTTTTCTGTTTTTAATTACAATTTTTTTTATACATTTGACATATAGTGCAACACAGAGAGCCTCTATTAATTACTTCGTGTTTGACGGTCTGATGCAGCAAGTGAATAGCTTTAAGGTGAAGCCTGAAAACCAGCAATGCTGAGTCTTCATCCTTTTTGCCCACATTACGGTTCATTAGCTTTTATTTTAATTGTTCCGTTATGTTTGTTTATATGTTTTGTTGATAAATAAATGTGTTTTTATTTATTTTGTTTTATTATTTAGAAATAGAAATAGAAACCATTTATTACAACGCCACATTGTAAAAAGACACACACGAAAAAAAAAAGAAGAGATAAATAAAACAAAAATAACACAAAAAACAGCGTAAAAACATTTAAACAACAAGTTACATAATATTATACTGTCATGCGTGATCCCATTCAGCTAAAGTCACAACCGAGACTAGGTTGTGACGCTGGATTTCAATGGGCCCTAGCCGAATGAGTGACAGACGTATTTGACAGTGTTCTATGGAGACCTCCACAGAACACTGTCAAACAGATTAATTGGGTTTTTTGTTTTGTTTGAAAGTTCACAACATGAATTGTCAATTAATCATTATTATGATTCTGCCATTGCGGCCTTTTTAGACCCCCTGGTCATTGTAATTCCGTTGAAATTACGTTGCGATTATTGTGATAATATTTGTTATATATACTAAAATCTACCTGCAATGGCAGTTGAGTCTCAGTGGAATGACAGTGATACCATAATCATTCAATTACCAACTATCGATATTGCCTTACTAAAACTGCCATGGAAATTACTACGCATATCTAAATTTTTATCACGTTAAAACTGCAATTTAGTCTTCACATTAAATATATATAATATTAATCCATTACGCCATCGACGTGAAATCGAACAACAGAATACCAAAAAATTGCAATAGCAGTTGAATTGTAGCGTATAGTATAATCTAAGAACGACACACAACAGAGATGATTTCAAATTTAGCAGAATTGGTGCCCTGAAAAGTAGTAATTTTACAAATGTGACCTTATTATATCAAGGATGAGATGTCTCCAACAGATCATGCCTTGTGTTTTGTCATTCCATAATTTTAATTTTGGAGAATTCTGTATTTTACATAATTTGAAATTAGGGACTCTTTTTGCACTAATTTCGATGGTGTTGATAAGCCGGCTCTAAATGCCAGTTGCAGACGTTATTAGATGTCATACAAAAACTTGAGTGACGGTTCCGCCGCGTGCGTGTTTCCAATTCACAGCCAGTTGCACGTGCGCATCGCCTAACAACACCGGTCAGGAATGTTAGGCGGAAAAAATAAGTAGTTTTTTTTATTCACTTTAAAGAAAACATTTGTACTTATTTTATTGCGGAGAAGGCGAGTGGATTAAAATAAAAATGTGTATAGTGAAAAAAATGTTTTGGATTTTCTTAATTAGTTTTGGTAAGTTATTTATTTATTTTTAACTAAACTAATTTGAAAAAAATATGTACATTTTTAAACTTAAGCAATATTAGTTTTGAATTTTTTGAATAATTTAATTTTCAAGTCATGGTTTACTATAATTAATGAATTTTTCAATATACTGTCTTCAAGTTTAAAATTAATAAATATAAATGCAATTTTTACCTAATTGAAGAATTACACTTTTTTAGTATCCATATTTTTATATAAGTTTGTATTGCGTAACTTATAGTTTAACATGAATATATAACATTTTTCTGTAAAATGTATTAGTTACTGCCTTTTATCCCAAAAAAGAACCGTAAGTGTTCATTTTTTCATTGCAATGAATAATACGCATTACGCGCTCTACATCAATTTTCATTGATCTAGAAAATATATTCATTTCTAGAAAAGAATCGCTTTAGTTTAATTTTTGGTACACCGCAAGAATACATTTTAAATCGAACAGATCAAAAAATTTAATATTGATCTTTTACTATTAATCTTATTAAATAAAACCCTTCTAAACATGTTGCACTATTTATTCTGTATAGTGAATAAGTACTGTATAGTAATAGAAAACAAAAATTTAAAAAGTAAGTTAATTACTTTTACAAATGACCGTTTGAATATTACAGATTACTTTTAGCATTTAAAATCAAATTAAACTTAATCTGAGTACCTCTGCCCTCGTACACACTGATTGATTTTTTAATTTTCAATATTTTGTTGGCGTTACATAAATGCAATAAAAATAAAAAGCATAAAGGCAATTAATTCTAAACGCAACCATAATAATCTTATTATGAATTTGGCTTGGCTTTGGCTTGTAATAACAATATAATATTCCTCTTTTAATCATATTAATTGTTTATTTAGAGCTTTAGTTCCTCGCCTGAACGCTTTTTTTCACTCTTTCTCCACCTTCATAATACCGTTTCGAAATTTCATTATTATCTTGTTGTAAGTTTCTCCATTTCAAAAACAAATCAAAGACCTTTAAGCTGTAACGCTAACCACGAAAAGTTAATAAAGAGTAGGAAAATAATGAATGAAAATAGTAAAGGAATTGGTAGATAGGAAGAAAGAGAGAAGAAAGTAAAAAAAGTCGCGAAATAAGTTTTCTATCTGCCCGGATTTAATTTCAAGCAGTAGGTAAATTCTACAAGTCATTGCCGTTGGTAATATATTAAGGAATATTATGCTGCATCACCGTAGTATGCCATCACCGGAAAACTACTTTAAAGTTTTTATTAATAATTCATCAATATTTTTAGGTGTTTTTCATCACGCCGACGCAGCTACATTAAGATGTTACAAAGGGTAAGTAGTTAATTTAATGGAATTGAACATTATTGAAGTTTATCTTTTTGTTAATCGAAATATACAAAAAGCGACAAAAACATAATGGAGTACATCTCCACAAAGCATGAACAAAAAGGTAACGCAAAAAATTCGCAAATTGTACAATTTTTCTTATCTACTTATTATACCCCTTATCGTTGACCGTTTAGCGTATTTTTTATCATTTTAAACAAAAGGTTAAGGTTACTTACATCTGTATAAAAATTTTGTCTTTATTGAAATAAGTTACCACAAAAATATCAAAATTAACAACAATTCTTTAAAAGTATAATCCTCGGAGTTCTGATATAGACGATGTTTCTATTTGAATAATTGATGCATTTTTTGCATATGTTTTAAATATCGACGATCGGCGAGTTCTTAAGTTGAATATAACCGTATAACTCCATAGTAATATCCACATTACGGATATTTTTAAATATACGACTCTATGTCTTTGTTCTAAGTTGTCTGAGTAAGTAGCACCAGACTAATTTTGCAACTTCTTTCAATATACATATCCGTTTTATCATAGAGTACATTATTTCGATCGCCACAAAGAGGACCGTAATAATACTTTTATTATATTAATTCTGATTCACAAAGTGGTAGATCATGCATTTTCCATACCTTTTTAATGATTCTTCCAGTCGCATTATCGTACACTCTCTTTTATTCTTGGTACTTTTGATCTTGCTCTTTTTGAGGATATCCATAAGGAGAATAGTCTAGTGCCTTCTATCTATCTTCACTAGAATAATCTAGCGAAGATAAATACACCGAGGTCGTCCTTCCATCAAGTTTTCATCCACCTTCGCGCTAATTTGTGCACGTATTGTGTGTAACTCCCATATCACACACTTTTTAATTTACTTAAATCTCTACAATCACGCGATCTAGAAATTTTGATAAAAATATTTAAACATTTCATATTTTTTTTCATACATTTAGTATTTTTAACAAATCTAATTAGTAGCAGTAGAGCTCCTTGTGAAAGAGTTTGTCCAGGGAAGTACTGTCACGTTACCTAGTTACCAAGCAATAATGCGAGCATTACTGCGTTACGGTTTTGACGGGTTGGGGTGCTGGTGAAATTGCAGGCACATAGGACTTGTCAACGTCTCCATATATTCCAAAAATATTCTGTATTTATTTTAATAAAGATACTACTACAGCTACAGCTAAAAAGTCGTTGAAAAACCAAATACAAAGATACGACGCAAGCACAGAAATTCGTTAGGTCCGCTGGTTCGTTCCGTGACTTAGTTGATATAGCGTCTGGCACTCGAAGGAATTTTTTCTGAATGTTCGATCTTCGTATTAATAATTATAACAAACTAGTGGAGTAATTTCAAATAAAAATAAATGAATATCAATTTTAATAAAAATTTAGATAATATCTCTAACTGCGGGGGGCTGTTTCATTCGGTGGTGTGGGAAAAACAGCAAAACATCTAATTATAAAACAAACGGAGCCTTATTTCGACGGTAACTAAATATTAAATATGTATTTTTTCAATGTTCGACCATTATAGCAAAGCTCAAGTTAAACTGGTCGATTTGAAGTGAAAGAATTGACGACACTCGTCAATTGTTTAGAATTCGGGCTGGCCAATCGGAACGCAGTTGTCACCGTAATGATTTGGCAGAATAGTTTTCAAACAAATTAAATGACATTTCGTATCTATTTCTGGTTACATACTCGATGATTTTACATCTTGCAGAACAAACGGAGGATTCTGTGATTATCTGTTTTATTCTCGTGTAGATACCGCAATCTTGCTGGATGGTTACTAAATAGATAAAATATAGGCATCATACATAGTAAGTACTCAATAAACCGCATTTGACAAAATCGTGTCGATCGGTAGATGGTGTCACGCCAAACCTCAAGGATAATACGCAGTTATTAATATTAAACTGCCTTCTACCTCGGCGTAACCACAGGATTAAGTAAATGCATGGGGAGATGCATTATTGTTGCTCAACGCAAGTGCATATACGTATCTAACGACATTTAACTGAATGCCAAAGGGTGGGATATATGTAAATATTTATACACCCACCTACTTATAAGATCGTAAATGCATTCGTTAATTCGGATCGAATTTAAGGATTTTTTTCTAAGTATTCGATTTTGCACTCGTATTAATTATAACAAACTAGTGGAGTAATTTCACAAAAATAATTATTATTTTATTTTCATAAATATACAGTTAAGGTACAATAAAAGCTTAAATACTAGCAAGTAAGACTAGGGCTAAATTATATGAATAAAACTGGGTCCCCGCGGCAAGGTGCTCAAGATGCTGGCAGTGTTCCCCCTTTGTATGCCCTTGGGTTTCCCAGACTGTCTATTAATTTTTTGGATATAATTTCGTACAGATGATGGTCACGGGGGCCCCACGGGTCAAAGGGTTCGACTGTAAAGGCTGTAAAAAGGTAGTCGCAGCCGAGATCCTGGTACTTATTGCTTTTTAATCTTTCCGCCAGCTCAGCTGCCGAGCCAGCCCTCTTGCTGGTGTGCTGTAGATGGGACTCATGCCTTAGTAAGTGTGCCGGCACACATGGCACCCCACACGAGTA